ATTCATTTGAAAGTATTGACAGTAGTTATAATAATAAGGTAAATACCACGACACGAGCAGCATTATCCTTATTTGGAACAACTAAAGTTGTTGAAGAGAAATTAAATAGATATCAAGAGCCAAAAAAGATTGAAACAAAAGAAATTCAAGGAAGTACAAATGTTCAAAAGAAAAAGACAAGATTTACTTTAACAGGACAACCAATATGTTCATATCCAGGATGCTCAAAAACAACATCTATTAATCCTGATGATTTTTGTTGTTGTTCAGTCTGTAAAATAGCATATTGTGAACAACATAAAAACAAATTAGAAATTATTATTCCAACGTTTAAGAATTTAACAAGTAAAAAACAAGTTATAAAACCTTATGTTGTTTGTGAAGATTGTAAAATACAAGAAGATAATTCACTTGATAAACAAGAAATAGGAGTTATAATAAATAAATGGGATTTATTTGAACAAAAAAGAAAATTAGTAATTGAATCAATGAAAGAAGATGAAGAACATGTTAAGAAAGGATTAGAACGTTTAATTGGTAGAATACAAAAAGGTAAATTATTTGGAAGAAAAGAAAATGGAAAAAATAATATTTGTCCTGTTTGTGATGTATTAATGAATGGAGCAGATTATATGAATGTTACATGTGATATTTGTATGAGAAAATGTTGTGTAGGATGTAGTATTCATACAACAATAGCACCAACATTAATTATGGGAATTGAAGATCCTATGGCAGAATATATTAAAGTTGTTATTTGTAAAAGGTGTTATAATTGTACAAGAAGAAAAACTAACGATACTCGTGTTGAATTGAAAAAAAGAGACCAAACATTGAATAATGCTCATCAAAAATTAATTGAATCAGAAGCAATGTTAAAATCACTTCTTAAACGTCTTGAAGATGTTGTTGATAATTTTAAAGGAGTTGATGATATTAAATTGTTTGAACAAAAAGAAATGTTTTATGTAGATGGTTTAAATGATGTTACTAATATTTTAACTCAATTAAAAAGTCAAAAAGATAATTTGGACAAAGACATGAAAAGTATTATGAATAATCTTGTTATTGCTTACTCCTCTCTAATCCAAAATAGTTCTATGAAACATGCAGTTATCTTTTCAAGGTATACTACTAAAGTAAAACAATTAAACTTAAAATAATTTCATCATTCTTGTTATTATTTGTTTATTATTTTATTTTGATTAAATAAAATTTTTTATCATTACTTTAAGTAATAATACAATAGTACAACTCTTATTTTATATTCTTTTTTATTTTTATTGTATTTAAATATAAAACATTAATAATTATTAGCACATTCATTAATAAGTAAATAATCATAATTGTAATATATGTTTATTTTAATGCATTATCATGTTTTGTTTTTATTTTATTACTCATTTTTAATTTACAAATATTATGATATTGGTATAGTAATATATTTTCATAATTTACTCTATAAAATATATAATATTTCATTGATTTTATTGTTTATTATTTAATTCATTCTCTATTATCAATACATTCATTATTATTTATTCTTCTTCTATTTTCTTTTATTATTTCATTTATATTCATTAATTTGTATATGAACAATGTGTTTGATTTGTCATTGGTATTCATCGATATTGTTATTTATTGTAACATTAATAACATGATTGAAATATTAAATATTTTGATGAAATAATAAAATAACATTGTTATTGAATATACTGTATCATAATAAAAATATTTAATGTTTCATTTTAATTGATACATACTCTTAAATAACCATGTTTTATTCCATTAAAAATATGAAAATGAATAACAATCAATTAGAAGAAGAATAAAGTGATAATTCCTGAAAGAATAACAAATATACTTGTTGAATTGTCAAGATTATTATGTTCATCAGTTTTATTATCAGTTTTATTTTGTGAATTATCAGAACTATTTGTTGTTTTATTTTCTGTTTGGTTTTTATTTTCATTAGTTGGTTTTTCTTCATCTTTCTTTGGTTCATTCTGTTTTTCTTTATTTTCTTTTTCCTCTTCTTTCTTTGGTTCATTACCTTCGGTTTTCTTCTCTTCTTCTTTTCCAGTTTCATCTTTCTTTCCGTCATTTCCTCCTTCACTCTTATTTTCTTGGTCTTTATTCTTTTTTGTTTCATCACTTTCATCTCCACTCTTCTTTGCTCCTTCGTCTTCAGTTTTTTCTTCCTTCTTTTCTTGGTTATTAGTGCCTGACTCTCCTTCTTCTTTCTTAGTATCTTTTTCTCCTTTATTCTTTTCTTGATTTACTTTTTCGTCATTGTTTCCTCCTCCTTGTTTATTCTGCTTTTGTTCTTCGTTACTTTTGTCTTGACCCGTTTGTCCATTCTGTTTTCCTTCATTACTGACCTGACTTTTGTCATCGGCTTGTTCCTGAGTTTCATCATTTTCACCTTTTGTTTTCTTTGGTTCTTCATCACCAACAGCCTTTTTTTCATTTGGTGTTTCTCCTTTCTGACTTTCTGGATTTCCACTTTTTCCTTTCACTCCTTCTCCACTTTCAACATGACTTTTTTCTTCTTTGTTCTTTTCTTTTCCATCTTCAGTTAATCCTGATTCTTTTGATACTTCTTCTTTTTTCGATGGTTTTTTTTGTTCTTCATCGCCCATTTCATTAACCTTTTTTGGTTCTTTCTGTTCTGGTATTTCTTTGACTGTCTTTTCTCCATTTTCTTGTCCATTTTCATTCTCTCTAACATTTTCTTGACTCTTTTTTCCCATTTCAACACTTTCAACTCCATTTTCTGTTGGTATATTTTGTCCTTTTTTCTTTTCTTCAGCTTCATCGTGTTCTTTATTGATTTTTATTTCTTGAACTGGTACTTCTGCAACATCATTTCCTTCTTTCTTTTCGTTAACCACTTCAGCTTCACTTTTTAAATGTATATTATATTTATTGTAAATTATTTTATGTTTATTTGAATACATATGTGTGTGCATTACTTCTGGATTGTTAATAATTTCTGTTGCATTAGTAATTACAATAATCAATAGAAATATAAACATTGAATGAAATGTATGTAAGTTTTTCTCTTTAAATATACTCTCTTCTTTTTCTATTATTATCTTTTATTTTCATTTTATTTCTTAATGACTCAATTATTTCATTCTTCATTTCATCATATTGATGTATCATTGTATTTTGAAATTCAACAATAAATAGAATGAAATATTAAATTAAAATTCATTTCATTTTTATAATTTATTCAACAAAATTAAATAAACATTAAATATAATAAAATAAATCATAAACAATAACAACAACAATGAATGAAATGAATAATAATTTCAATTCATAATTCAAATCATTACTATTTTAATAATAAATTGGCAACGAAAAAAAGCAAATAATTGAAAAAGAAGAGAATGAATGATATAAAAGAATAAAAAGAAAGTAAAAAGTAGATGAATATGAAGAAAGAATAAAAGTAGAAAGGAGAGAAGATAAAAAGAAAGAAGATAAAGTGTAATAAAACAAAAGAGATGATAAAAGAAGAAAAGAAAGAAAAAATAAAGGATGCAAATTTTATTTCAACAAATAAAAAAAGTGCAAAATTTAATGATGCAAAATTTAATGATGCAAAATATTTTACTCTTTTTTATGTTTATTATTTATGTGTATAACTTCATTATGATGTTTATTATATATTCAATCATATGTGTTATGTTATTATTATAACATATAATAAGTGATAAAATATAAATGAAAATGATATGAATATATGATATAGAATAAAGAAAAAACAAAAGAATAATAAGAATAAATGATAAATAAAACGAGAAATGATAGTCAATGATATAATAATAAATAAAAGTATAAAAGATAAAATTGATATTAATATAAAACAAAAGAGAATAAATATAAAATGAAAATAGATATAAATGATAAGAATATAAAATATGAATAAGATGAATAAACAAATACAACTAAATAGAAAAGAATAACAATAAGAAAATCTAAATAATATAAACATAAAAAACATAAAATAAGAAGAATATAATAATATATAGATAATAAGAAGAATACAATGATATAAATAATATAAACAGAGAAATAAATATAAAAATATATAGATAAATAACATATAAATAAAAGAATAAAAAATACAAATAATTAAATATAATCCATCAAATCATCTATTTCATTAATATTTCATACAAAATGGCTACAATTGATCATAAAATATAAACATAAAAATAAATACAGATTGTATATTTATCATACTTTTTATTTATTTTAGGAGCAAAATATAATAAATGGAAAAATCTAATGATGCAAATTATTTTGCATCTTTTTTTCATTTTTGTAATTTATTTGGATGCATTATTTCTTTGCTAATTTTCGTACCCTATGAAATGTATTAATCAATTTTAAAATTAAAAGATAAAACATAGAATAAATTAATAATGATTTGAATCAGATACACTTTATGAAATATGACTCATTAAAATAAATATCAATAATTATGTTAATTTGATTTCCTATAAATGGATTATTATTACTTTAATCAGATGTTAATAATGTTGAGTGTACAACTATGATATTTTATTATTTAATTCTAAACAATATTATCTACATACCTCTAATCATTCTTTAAGAATTACATTAAATAGTATTGTTACTTGTCAATTAATTCTTTAATAAAAATAACATAAATTTAAATTCTTATTGTAGTTATTCTTTGATATTATATTTATTTAAGTTTTATTCATAAATATAACTTTGTTTATTTTTATGTCAAGCATAAAACCTATTTAATTTTTATAAAAATTTGAAACATTGAATTGGCAAATTATTTTCTGATATAATATTAATTTTAAAGTAACTCATGTTATTATTCTCTCTCATTTTTATGAATAATGTATTTTTTATTCAATAAAAAATAAAAATAAACTGAGTAAATACGTTATTCTAAGATTTAATATTAGTGAATTTTAATCAGGTTTATGAATTGAAAAATTGATACTCTTGTTTATTCTTCACTTCATCTCTTCTTGTATAATTTAATCAGAGATATATTATCATTTTTACTTGAACAATATTATTTTATTATTAATGGTAAATAAAGTTTCATGAATAAAAACTAATTTATTATGTTTAACCATTAAGTTTAAGTGTTTTGAATTGTTGGTATTGATTTATTATTGAATGTATTCAATGTGGTGATAGTCTAAGAAAATATTCGTTGAGTATTGAACCTTTATATATATTGATAAAAATGAAGTAATTATGATGAACTTTATTGTAAAAAAATAGTTAATATTTTATTAATATTTTATTGTGGTATTAAACAAGAGTTGTTTTAAGATATTTTATTCAATTTGTTTGTTATTTTATTAAAGATAAATATAGATTAAATTCAAGTAGAGTTTTGTTCATTATTTTTACTGTCTATTTATAGCTGACATATAAAGAAATAGTTGAGACTAATTGATGATAGGAACAAAGCAACAAAAACAACGAAGGAAACTTTGTAGACGAAAATCATACAGTTGAGAGGTATTATTACAACTCTTTTAACTGGATATCACTCAAATAATAATAGTTTCTTGATATCATACATTTTTAATTCTTTTTTGTATTGGTTTTATAACTCAAACCAATTGTGTTAAATAAAAATATAATTAAAGGAAAAACATGTAAAAATAGTCACAGAAACTAAGACTTGCTCAACAAAAACAAGTTAATCCAAAATAAAAATAGACAATGGATAAATTAGACAAAAGTTAAATTTCTTGTTCTTTTAACTAAAAAAAGAAAAGACTGTATTTTTTTAAAAGTTTAATTAACTAATTGGTTAAATAATAATACCCTTTATTTCATGAACAAAATAGTATTGTTTAAAGAAAATAGGAACTTGTCAAGTGTTTAATATAAATGATAAAATAATTGACAAAAATAACCTCCAAGTAACATTAAACAGAATATAGACTAAAGCAATAATTTAATGAGTTGTAAATTAAAGCATTGCTTAGTTGTGGTTCTACTCATATTAATATAATATTTTGTTAAAATTAGAAATAAGTTAAATGTGTTTAATAGGTATTAAGATTTAAAATATTTGCCTATGAAAAGCAAGAAGTATGATGATTTTTATATTATGTTTTTAGTAGTTAAAGTATAATTCATGAAACTTCAAAGACATAAATCATTTATTTAACCATAAGATTGTTTAAAAGTGACATAAAGTAATAAGACAAAAATAAAGTCATAGAAGAGTTGTTTAAAAGAATGTATGAAACAACTAACATTTGACAGTATTGAATTTAAAAAAAAACCAAAAATAAGAAACAACAAGAAAACTTCTTGAAATAGAGAAGAACTACCATATAAACAAAATAAAGGAAGTACAAGACAAAAATTAAACAAAAAGAAAGAATATGTTATTAAATAATGACGATAGAAATAACTAATTAAAACAAACAAGAACAAAAATGAAAATGTAGTATCGAAATAGATGAGATAGAAAAAAAGAAAATAAATAATAAATAATAAAAAGAGTAAGAGATATACTGTAACAAAGAATAACAAGTAAGAAACCACTATATAAATGAAAAGAAAGGAACTTAAATATATTTTTTATAATAGGACGGATGATAGCTCTGATAAATATTTTAACAATAATTTCTGTTGTTGCAGGTCATCTTTATTCAACAAATGACTTTGAAGCATTATCAGAATTAGAAGACAAAGAAGATTATAGAGGAGATTCTTTCGATGAAGATGAAACATTTATGGATTATCTTGAAGGAGATGACTTTATGATGGAAGACGATTTACCAGGCATACAATTGACTAAGAAATTGGCTGAAGGAGCAATTGGGTCTCTTCAGACAGGGGCAATCAGCGCCATTGATAAAGAGACAAAATATCTTGCAGAAAATGGAGACACGATTTCACAACGAATGGATAGAATTGGAGATATTGCAGGAAAAGCCGCAAATGTTCTTGAACCAGTTGCAAGGTTCACTAATATTGTTGGACCAGGAATTAGAGGAAAATATGGACGTTTAGCTGTAGGAGCAATCAATGGAGCAGCGAAAGGAGCGCGTGCTATTAACTTAGGTGCACGTGGAGCAGCAAGTATAACTAGATACGCTACGGGGTTGTCTAAACAATACCAAAACCAAGAAGGAACGCCTGAAGAGAAAGTAAGATTAATGAAAGAAGTAATAATACAAAATGCCAAAGATGAAGGAAAGAAACTTCTTGCAAATGGAGTTGGTGCACTTGCAGGCAAAGCTGCTACTGTTGCTTTTGGAAATAGAATAGTTTCAGGAGGTGGAAAAGTTATAGATGGGGGAATGTTATTAGGAAATAGACTTGTTGGAAAGGGTATGTCAGGAATAGTTGGAAGAGCTGCAAAAGAGTACTTAGCAGAAAAAGTTAATGAAAAAACAGATATGCTTAAAAATAAAGTAACTGATAACGTTGGACAATTCTTAGGTGTTAATCCATCTACTAGTGGAATAGATATTGATAAAATAAAAGAGGGATTTCAAGTAACAAAAGACTTTTACAAAAATGGACAGAGCATGAGTAATGTATTTATGCAACCTGGTAAAAATAGAAGACTGAGACACAAACAAGAGATGAAACATAAAAAGAGTGTATTACAAAGAACAAACACATTAGAGACAGGAGTTGGTGAAAGAAATTTAACACCCACAACATCAATTTCCCCAGTAATACATTCAAATAACCAATCACCATCCAATAAAAACACTGAAAGAGTTGTTTCAGCAAGAGGTAATAGACAAAATTTAGTTAGAAGTACTTCAGTATGAAAATAAATGCATTAATTCATTTTTTTCAATAATTATCATCTTATCGAAATAAACATATAAAAATAAAACTCAATTTTGTTAATATTATTTTTATATTAATTTATACATCTTTAAAAAAGTCTTGTTAAAAAGTTAGAGTAGAGATTGTCTGATTAAAATAGTTAAGTTGTTATTGTTTTCATGTAAATTTCTTAATTGTATGAAGATTAACTTATTCA